ACTTTGCCTCGCGAAGAGTAGGGAATCGACGTTCACGCCTTTATCTCACGGCAGGAAGGATCATATGTGTTGGCTGGCCTTCGGTTTTTACCGGAACGATCCTGTTCTAGTTACCGGGCGCATAATGCAATCGTTGCACATTATCTGTTTGCGAAAAGAGAGCGCTTTTCATATACAATGAAGTAACAATCGAGACGCTTATTCACATTCATCTGTACCTGAGAGTACTTTTCATGCGTGATTTGTGCGTGAGAAACACAGGGCACGTTTCGATTTGCTGGACATTCTGCGCGTGACCTTCGAATTTGTTGCTATCGCGTTTATTGCTTCGCCTTTGCAGCAAAGCTATGACTTTTTCTTCAATATCAATAGCCATTGACTTGTGATTGCCACCCACACCGCCCCGCGCGGTCCATGCAAACGAATCGCAGAGCGGACATAGGCCAGATTAGTTGATAAAAAAAGAAAGAAGTATGCCAGTCACACTGCAGAATGGCCGCTGACCGAAACACCAGTCAAACGTAAAGCTAAGCCTAAAGGTCGTGTAGCCCAGAGCTGTGGCACACAGCGATGCCTGTTAAAGGGCCAGTAAACAACCCCAGGGACCAAAAATTGTTGTAAAGAGTAATAAGTACACTTTTACTTCGTGAACATGCTGCCGCAAGAATTTTGCGAATACGTGCTATATTAAGGAAGTTACAGGGGCTAGAACATTGCGTTCAGCTGGTTTAAAATTTTCGTGCGGTCTCGCCACCCTTCTCCTTTAGAGGAAGGGGAAGGCGTAACCCGTTGTCGTAACTCTGGCCACTTCGGCGATGTGACAAGAAGTCAGCGATTGACGTCACAGGCGAACTCGATCAGTCGCAGTTCTGCTTTCTGCGAAGCCTGGTTGTTTTCCGTTTACCTGGTGCCGATGCTTCTCTGCAGCCCAGTCGCTTGATTTTCAGCCGACAACGATTTGCAGCAAAACGTTGTTTCAAAACTCGAACATGAAGTTGACCCAATTTTTCTAGAATGTCGCACCATCTGGGAGCAGCAACATGAAACACAAATAATGTGCTTAATAGTGGGTGTGGTGCGACAATCTGCTCACTCCCAAAAACTGCGTAGGTGAAGTGTCCCGATTTTGATGCCTAAAGCCTATGGGGAGTTTCACAACTCGTATGATTGAATAGCTCTGTCGTAGCTGTGGGCGGGAACAGGAACTGTCGTTGACTTCAATACTGTTTATTGAGACCTGGTTTAGACCAATCGACGAGCTGCGTGCTGCATCACGTCGCCGATCGCTGAGTTGTCGTCACTGTGCACGCAAGGAGATTGGTCAGGCATAGGAAAAGAGCATAGAAATTGTTTTTCGAAATGGAAGCTGTGCGTGACGCACAGCTCTGTAATATTCAGGAAACGTGACCGCTGCGGTCTACTTTAGGAATTACCAAGCCTGTTTGGGGGGTGTAAAAAAATAAGTCAGGGTTTGTTGACTGGCCTCTTAAAGCGCTCATCGCGAGTTTCGATTATAAAACGGAGCAGTATTGGAAACTACCACCCATGAAAACTGTGCCACATGATCGCCGACACATCATGAGCCATGAAGAAAGCACCAAGGCGTCCGTTTAAACTGGTTTGAACACCACAGGTTCTGTGCACCACGACTTCGCAAAACGTGCAAGTTTCATACCGTGCACTATGGACGAGTATTTAGTGCTGCTATCAAGTGGGTCTCTCGCCACCTACGAACACGAATGTGCAGAACCCGCACGCGTAGGCGACTGCAATGACTTGAACGTGTTACGCACAACAAAGAACCTGAGAGTAAAAATCCCGCTACGCATGCCACTCCGTTAAGAGTGCCTAACACAGCGGTTTTCGCGAAGTGACTGGTGCCAGAACACAAGGTCTAGCTAGCAGAAGCAGCATGCTCGATGCACGACAGCACATTTTTGCGGGGTCACGCATATTTACAACAGTCCACAGGCGATTATGGCGGCACCGTGGGAGCCTTCGTAACCAGAAGGGTGTCAAGTAAAGAACACGCTAGGGCACGTCTTTTTTTCTTGGTATTACCGACGCTGCTCGGAAAATCATGTAGTCAACTCGGCCGTTTTTTGCCACTGAAGCTGAGGTTGGCGTCAAAATTCTTGCTTGTTTCGGAGCAGTTCAGCAGTTTTTGCCATTTTTATGCTTTAGCAGCAGCTTGGAACAAGAAAACAGAAATGTATAAAAAATATGCAATATGCGCAGCTGTCTCACCCCTGCATTGTGCTTTTAGTGGTCGGTGACGTTACCTCTTGTACTGCATGAGAGTGTGACAGATGTACCCAAAGTGTTCTTAGCTATTTCAATTCAATTATTGCAATTACTTATTTATTTCTGTTAATTACATTATTTTAGACCTTGCTCGTTCATTTCAACTTAGTTTTGAGAATGGCAAGCTTTGTTATGGCCTGTATTGAGTGCTTTACTGCGAACATAATCACGTCACATGAGATGCATAAATACATGAGAAGCTTCAGCACTCAAAAACTCGTCCATTTTGTATAACAGAGCAGAAAAAATGTGATAACTGGCCTTAGTTTGCATACAAATGCAAACTTTAAAAAAATGGAATCAGTAAAACGAAAGTGCTGCTGGCCGAACACAGAGAGAGAGAGCGAGTGAATGTGTGCGCGCACATTTATGCTGCTTTGAAATGATATTGGAAGGAAATAAACAGCAATTGTTTTTTTACCCCATTCTATCTTTGGAAAACGTAGGAACAGGAAAATTGCCAACTTCAAACTTGGGGAGAACTTAAAGGGCCACTCACCAGGACCCATACCAAATTTTAGTTGGACAGTGGAAGTTGTTGGGTGTCCGATGAGGAACATTTTGCCACAAAAATTTTTATAATCGGTTAATCATAAGCGGACAGGTTTTTTGAAGCAGCGCGAAACGAGGATGAGAGAAGGCAAGCTCGAAACCCTTGCCGCTCCTCTGCGTAGCCTTCGCAAGCCAAATCTCTTTCCCACCCTTTCTAGCATCCGACCAAGAGGTCACGTGCGCATGGCGTGCCCAAACAAATCCAGCCCCCGAGCACGCGAGCAGAGTTTTTTTGTTGATCAGCGTTACTTTGTGGTCTTTTGCCTGTTTCTGCGGGATGGTTTGGAAACGCTGGCTTAGACGCGGGGGGAATAGATGAGCACAATGAGTGCGCACGCGTAGGAGCGATCCACAGCAGTCGTCTGCTCTATGCTCCGACTGCGGGGACATGAATGCATGCGAAACGCCCACACATTAGCCCCGCATCTCGTTGCAATTTACGGGAGAAAAAATAAAAAAACGACACTCGCATTCTCTTATTGCGTCTCTTTATTTATCTAGAGTTTTATTGATCTTTTCAAGCAACAAATTACATAAACTACGCATGCCGTGTTAAATAATTTTCGCAATGTCACGTGCCACTGTTTGCAACGTTAGAGCAGAGTCGTCTACGTAGAGGACCAACATCACTGCATTGCCGTGTACGTAGGGCCATTCATACGCACACGTCATGCCCTCATTCTCTTGGCGCGTGCCGGCAGAAGAGAGAGGAAGCAGCGTTCATCTTGAAATTTGACCCATTTCCGTGGCGCGTAGCGTAGCGTTGCAAATTTTGCTGATGTGATCATGAACGCCTTGTCTACATATTGCGCTTGTCAGCTCAAAATTGTCAAACCTGGTGAGTGCCCCTTTAAAGGCAAAACAGTAGCAGATGCAACTGCACCTTTTTTTTTCCTTCCCCTGTGCATTAGCAACAACTTGACGAGGACTAGCCGATTCCTAATTATAGCAGATGATTAAACCGCACAACAAGAACAAGGACAATAAAGGAATGGCATGTTTGTCTTGTGGTCTTTGTTCCCTTGTTGTCCTTGTCCCTGCCATGGCGTTTGATCCCCTTCCCTCGTGCAGTTCACCCCAAAAAAATCTAGTTTACCAATTTACAAAATAAATCGCTTAAAACACCTTTTCAAGTGGTTTTCTAGGTTAATTGGTGCCGAACTCGTGTTGACTTGAATTTGTCCAAAAGAACTTGTTTCTGGGCGAGCTGGTGCTTACTTGCTGCAGCGTGAATCTCCATTCTGGTTGTTTCAATTATGAACACCTCACTCTAATATCAACACATGCTTTTAAACAGCGTGACCACATTCACATTTATTTTGCACTTATTTTCACCTCATAGTTGCACAAGGTCTCATCATCAATATTCTGAATGACCTTGAGGCCACTTTTTTTTTTTTCAAGGTTTTACTTTCTGGACTTCCAAGGCATTACAGTTCTCTCTAGACAAAGTTGCTACACACCATCTCCATTAACCCCGCAAGTCCACAACCTGCAATGAAATATAACACAAGTGCCAGCGCAGCGTGTGTTTGGCATGTAAGCTAACTCTCATAGGCCAATGAGTAGGAGCATGCGTGCTGCCGTTCAGCGAAACACAAGGAGAGATCATGCGCATGAGCAGCTTTGAAAGCACACGCATAGCACAAGCACAATGAGGGATTATGCATTGCCACAGTGCAGCCGTCACATACCGCGAGCAAATATACACACAGCCGCAAAGTAAGTAAACTGCCAACAGAGCACCATGCACAACAACATATAGAGATTTCTGAAAAATGGGCACTTTTCTGAAGGCACAACAACCACATCTGGCCCAGGTTTTCGTGTTTATGAGCTCCTTGCCACATGCTCATGATGTTCCTGCAGCATATCCGCTTTGTGCTTCATCGGTGACAAACAAGCCACCATTTTGGATGTTTTTGTTCATGCACAAGCGGCCGATTAGAATTTTTGGGAACCTGATGTTACTACAACTAGCCATACTGGTATGTGAAAACACGAGAATTGACACTGTAGCCAGACCTGACAATATAGTGTCAATGTTAGTAGGTGCACCCTGTGAAAGTCAATACAAGTGTGTATTCACACTTGTGCAGAGCCGTCTCACTATACAGGAGATTTGTAAAGCAGAGCAAACTCACCTTCCACCATCCGTGTCAGTACCCCTTTAAATAAATAAAACAGTTCAATACTCAGCAATGCTACACAAACAAATAAGCACTGGAACAGACTCACTTATTTATGTCCCATGTGTGTATGCTTCCGTCAAAGCCAGATGTCACAAGCAGTTTCTCTGCCGACGCGTACTCGATGTTCTTGACCCAATTGGAGTGACCAATAAAAGAACGTATCTGCCTCCTCATGTTTCGCACATCCCACAATGCCACTGTGGTATCGTCAGAGCAGGTGGCAAACGTTCGGGAGTCAAGGAACCTGTTGATAGGAGATTTTGTTATGCTTTCGTTCACTGTAGTTGTTTTCTTCCTCTGCGAGACTAGCATGTTTGTTATCATGTATACAATACTTACCTAGCATTGTTCACGCAGTCGGCGTGTGCATTTTTCACTTCCCTAGTAAGCCTCCGGCTGAGCGGATCAAACATCAGGATGCTTTTGCCTTCTGTGGCTGCAACCAATATTGAGCTGGAGAAAGAGCGATTATACACAAAGATAAGCAATGGTTTCAAAAGGTTAAGCAAAAGCAACGTGTCCAACACATTAGCAGCAAAGCAAGTTATCTGAAACAAAGAGCGCCTCACTACGTATGAGGCAGATATTTGTAAATACTGCATATTTCTTCCCCTGCCTGTTCTTTCTGAGCACACTTCTTCAAACCACCCAGGTACTCTTCAATTGTCGATGTTTGGTTGCCAGCCCTGAGCCAGATGGTTACAATACCAATCCTAACACAAGAACAAGCTCGCAAACATGAAGATCAACAAGGATAATGGTGAATGTGACTCGTATATGTAACAATGGCAATATACCCTTAAAGGGGACATTAAAGGCACATAATTTAAGTGAACGTGCACCAGACTCAGACAATGACTAGGTAATAGTAACACATTACCACAAACGATCACTCTTATTTTATAACCTATAACTACATCATAAATGTTTCATGTGAGAAACTAGGCCCTGCAATGCCATTATGTTTACCATAGTGATGGCAAGAACAATCTATTACAGATGATGATGATGAGTAGTTTTTTAGTGGCGCAAGGGCCAATTGATGGCCAAACAGCGCCATTTCAATTGACTACAAATATGAACAATGATATGGTGCGTGGCTGTAAAGGGGCCTTAAAACTCCTCGCTCTAACGCGGGTTAAAACATGAAAGTAATAAAATCATGACAGTGGCGTGACATATGTGTAGTGATAGCGGATGGCAAAATGTCATGATAACAAAACCATGATGAAGGTGTAGTCACCGCAGCCACGACCACTCTATAGAGGTCGTGCAACGAATGACCTCGAAATATCGGGTGAAAGCTTTGCACATCTTTTAAAAACGTGAAAAGTGTTTGCAGTTTAAAAAGCGGATCCCTACCAATCCCAGGGTGTAGAGGGAGCTGCTGTCGGTAGGGCAGTAAAAAGTGCTTTATTCTTAGAGCATCTAGCTCATTGCACTGGACGAGAATGTGGAGAACCGTAAGGGGCTCTCCACATCTCTCACAATATAGTGGATCACCAGTAGACAGAAGAAATGAGTGTGTAGAATGTGTATGTCCTGTTCTAAGCCTTGTTAGTATTACTTCTGTGTGTCGTGATTTTGATAGTGGCAGCCAATAACCTAGTTACGGCTTAATAGCATGGAGTTCATTATCTGTGTGTTTATCCCACATGCTCTGCCAATACCCCCTGAGCTTTCGTTTTATAAAAGGTTTTAAGTCAAGTGCAGGGACTGGTGTTGATGCATTGGCAGTAGTGACATTGGCGCAAGCAGCCAGATTGTCGGCCAAAACGTTCCCTCGTATTTCACGGTGCCCTGGAACCCAGCAGACAACGACATGCCGTTTTGATGTGTAGAGTGTGCACAGAAGTGAGTAAAGTGACACCAGCACGGGGTTCTTGTGTTTTTTTAGGAGTTTTCCGGGCTTTGACCACGCTTAGAGAATCTGTGCATATTACCGCCTTTTGTAATTTTATCTGTTTAATGTGTTTTACGACCGCCAGTATTGCGTAAGCTTCTCCTGTGAAAATGCTTGCATTAGGATGAAGAACGCCGGCCTCGGAAAAGGATTGGCCTATTGCTGCATATGACACAGAAGTGTTTGACTTTGACGCATCAATAAAGAACTCGGGGCATGTGTATTTATGTTGTAGTTCTAGGAAGTATGTATGTATGTGTGCAAGTGGTGCGTGCTTTGTGACATCAACAAAAGAGACATCACAGTCTATAAGCTGCCACTGCCATGGTGGCAGATATGTTGCAGGAGCCATCAAACTGTGTTCAAGAGGCACACCTGTTTCTTCGGCCAGGCTCCTTACACGCAGCGCATAGGGCTGCCTAAACGAAGGACGGTTCTCGAACAAGCCAGAACAAGACAAATCATTAATTGTGAAATGGGAAGGGTGTTTCTTGTCTGCCTTTACCTTCAAAAAGTACAAAAAGGACAGGGAACATCTTTGTAGGTGGAGCGACCATTCATTCGAATCCACATACAGGCTCTCCACAGGGCTGGTGCGGAAAGCACCCGTAGAGAGGCGAATGCCTAGATGGTGGACAGGGTCGAGAATTTTCAAGGCTGATGGTGTTGCCGACTGATAGATTATAGCACCGTAATCTAGGCGTGTGCGTACGAGGCTTTTATATAAGTTAATTAAACATTTCCTGTCACTACCCCATGTAGTGCGTGACAACACTTTCAAAATGTTCATTGTTTTTAAGCACCTGTCCCTTAAATACTTGATGTGTGGGATGAAGGTTAGCTTAGTGTCTAATATGAGACCAAGAAACTAGTGCTCGGCCTTCACTGACAGAAGTTGACCATGCAGGTCAATGTCGGGGTCAGGATGGAGGCCCCTCTTTCGGCTGAACAAGACACAAGTGCTCTTTTGCGCGTTGAGTATAAAAACCATTCTCGTTTGCCCATTGAGATACCTTGTTCAACCCTAGTTGAACTTGACGTTGGCACATTGAGATGTTGCACGATTTGTAACCAATCTGCACATCATCGACATATATGCAGTAAAAAATATTTCGTGAGGAGACAGGTGCAAGGAATTCATTTTAACTATGAAAAGTGTGCAGCTCAATACACCTCCTTGTGGCACTCCTGTTTCTTGGACAAATACTCGAGATAAGACAGTGCCAACTTGGACACGGAATGTACGGTTGGACAGGTAGCTTTCGATAACTGTCAGCATTCTACCCCGCACACCTAAATGTGACAGGTCTCGCAATATGCCGAAGCGCCATGTAGTGTCATATGCCTTTTCCATATCGAGGAACACGGAAAGAAAAAATTGCTTATGAACAAAAGCGTCGCGAATTTGTGCCTCGATACGGACAAGGTGGTCAGTGGTGGACCGAGCCTCTCGAAACCCACACTGGTATGGGTCAAGTAGGCCACTAATTTCAAGGAAGTGCATCAGGCGCCTGTTAATCATTTTTTCAAAGACTTTGCAAATACAGCTGGTTAATGCTATTGACCTGTAGCTGGAAACTGAGGCCGGATCCTTGCCTTGTTTTAGAATTGGGATAATGATAGATTCCTTCCAGGCTGAGGGTAGCTCGCCAGAAGACCATATCGCATTATAAAGAGAGAGGAGAGCTTTCTGGGTTTCAGTGGGCAGGTGTTTTAACATTTCATATGCCACACGGTCCGGGCCTGGGGCAGATTTATTGCAGCAGGCAAGTGAGGCCTGCAGTTCAGCCAAACAGAAAGGTTCGTTGTATGCCTCATGTGTTCTGGGCTTGCGCTCTAATCTCTGTTTTTCTATTGCGGTTTTGTATCGTCGGAACGCTTCACTATAGTGTGTTGAGCTGGAGACCTGTTCAAAGTGCGCTCCGAGAGTGTTTGCCTGGTCTTCCAAACTCTCCCCTTCTGTGTTCACTAGAGGAAGCGAATGTGCTCCTCGTCCTGCCACCTTACCAACCATGCTCCAGACTCTCGACTATTACAGTCAATCTATTACAATCATCTATGATCAATCATCTATCATCATCTATCATCTACTATCAATCTATTACAGTTGCTCAAACACACACAATTATATCTCTAACAATGATGTTGCAGCTCATAATTAAAAAGGAAAGAGGCTGATTGTCAGTAGGTGTATTTATTGAGAGAAGCAATAACGTTCCTTCCCCACTTTTTTTAAACATATGTTGACACCATTCTTTTGTTGTGACTCATCTTGTGTTCTGATCGCACTTGTTACTTGACCCTTCTACCAGTCTTCTGAACTTTATGCCATATGAAATATACTTTTTGTGACATTTTAATCACTGCTTTTAGAGTAACGAAAAATTGTTGTTACTCATTTTCCCCTCGCATGCACTGCAACAATTACCTTGTTTAAGCTTGTAACAGTAATGGTAACATGGTTACTTACTACACAATGCAATGGCCTTTCAATAAGAATGGTTGAGTACTAAAGTCAGAATTATACTAAGGAGATGCTGCATGATGGGCTAGGGCTCGAATGTCCTGCTGGAGTTCAGTCATCACCTCAATGCACCCAATTTTAAACAGTAGTAAAAAATAATAACATTTTAAATGTTCCCCAATAATAACCTATCACTGAAATCTGAACTACTGTTTGCCTCTTGCTCCCTCTAAGTAAACGAAGCAAGAGCGGGAAATCTATTGATATTGCTAATTGTACAACCATCCCACAAGGAGTCCTGCTTCCATGCGCTGAGGATTTTTCTTAAATAAGTGAAAGTAAAAGGAGACCCAAATGAGAGCACCAAATGCAATATTAAAGCATGCATGTAATGATTTAAGTAACTGCAGTAATGAAATTCTTTTGACTTGGAACGTTCCAAGAAAGTCTGCATCACTTTCAATTCACCTTTTAATAACACAAGGGCATTTTTTCAATCATGTTTAGCCTGCTTTCATGGTTGTCATAGTTTATACCTTAATTGATGAAGGCTGTCTAGAACAGCACTTTGGAAGATTGCACTTCATCGAATCAAAGGGGTCTCATATTTAAAGAGGCTTTAGCAAGAACTCACAGACATTATTTATTATTAATTTTCGAGCATTATGGGGCCTGTATTTTCACTGAAATTATATGTGCCAGTTGAATGCGAGCAAAACACAGCACTGTGTTGAGCATAATTACATGAAGGTGAGGTGTTGCATTACAGCACCTTACATGAACAGAACAAGAGGGATAGATAAAGGCATCTGTTTTGTTAAATAACTATGCGAAACCAACAGTAGGTCTACATGACAGCATGTTTCACACTCAATGCCAAGGCTTCAAGTGATGCTGGCTGAAAACACAGCACCAGCCACTGAACTGGTAGTGTGTTTAATGTGAAGGTTTGGTCCTCACCAGCAGCAAGTTGTTTTTGGTCAACTTTTATTTCCCTTTAATTTATATATTAGTTTCAATTTAGAACTAGAAATTCCACTCCCTATACTTTCCTTTGTTTTATTACCTGTTATCCTCATTTAGTTGTGTTGTACTTTACTGGTCGCCCAATAAAGGGGCCCTGCGACACTATTTGAGCATGTATTTTTTCATTGGTTCTTCAGGTGCTCTGGAACGTGCCGATATCATAGCACAAAAGGCAACGTCGAAATCGACGCTGTTATAATTTTAATTCACGGGACAAACTACTTTGGTTTTAGACTGCGGCGACACACATCGGCTATTTTTGTTATGGGAAGTGACGTAATGTCATGTGACGACAAACACCGTTCACTTTTGATTGGATGGACGCGAGAAATGGTGTGCAATATGCATATGGTGGTAGCTAGGCCATAGGAGTGAATGCTAAAAATACCAAAAACCTTTTTTATACTTTCTCAGAAAGAAATCATTCCTGTTTCAAAATGATGTCTTTGGAGAACAACGAACACAACACAGCCTGCGAACGAGGCTATGGTACACCAGCAAGCAACTAAACATGAAAAGGCATGCCGCGTTTTTAGCGAGCCAACAATGCGACGGGCGGTGGGTGCCAGTGTTGACGTAGAACAAGTTTTGCATGCAAGCTGAGAAGTAAACCTGCCTAAAGTGTATGTGCGTATTTTACACAGTGACCATGGAAGCGTCTTCTAAGGTTCTACTCGACGCACGTGGTTCATAGTAAGCATACTAACGACGCCATCAAAAAGAGCGGTAGTGAGCTATTGTGTGAAGACCACCATGAGGTGACATTTCCGGAATGTCTTTACGAAACATGCACTGAGACTGGAAGCGGTCTTTGACGTCGGCAGGCGAGTGAAATGCAAAAGAGAATGCTTCTCCTCGTCTGCTCAAGTTATGAACTTTGAGGACTCATACCTTCACTGTCCGTGCACCAATTTACATCATTCTTGTTGCATTTGTCTCAATAATCATCGCTACGCGTGTTCCGCTGCTAAATAAAGACTGTTCAAAAAGTGTCGCAAGGCAACAGCCTAGCTCAAAGCAACCTGCCTCAAAGTAACGGTATTAAATAACATAGACAACGTGCATGCTAGCAAACTTGCATAGAAAACACACATTCCGGTCTGCTTTGTCACTTCGATGTCAATTGAACCCACAACTTTGCAAGAACGAAAAATGAAGTCAATACCCATCAGGTGAAAATTCCAAGTTGAAGATTCCTCCGTGGCCACCATGGAGCATTTCTGGTCCTTCCATTGACACTAGAGAACGGTAAAGAATCTGGTACAAGTGATCTTTAGCGCCAATGTACGAGTGTAGGCCTAGATGCTGATGGTCAACTTTCCGTCCCAAGAAGTCCATCTTTTTTGGGGCCATAACAGATCACTTTTACACCCTGGAAAAGTAACACCAATTTGTCAGAAAAGCAAAACCAAATTCTAGGCCACAAAGAAATGTTACTATGCATAAACTACTTTTTTTTTTTTTTTCAGAATTTACATGTCAGCAGCAGGGTTAGATCCTCCAATAGTAATGGCATACCTATTCACCACCTGTTTATAACAGAATGCAGTACAGCAAGCATTTCAACATTCTAGTAGCGGGGATAAGTTCTTGCATCAATGCTATAAAAAAATCAAATGTTCTACTACATCAGTTTTGGATAACTTTGTGCAATATAAGAATGCATAATAAAAACACACTTTATGTTCTGTCGCATGTTCAGCAACACGAGTATTTAACCTAACAACTTCTCAAAATTCTTTTACCACCACTCTTTCCATGCTCGATTGATTTGATTGATTTGTGGAGTTTAATGTCCCAAAACCACCATATGATTAAGAGAGACGCCGTAGTGGAGGGCTCCGGAAATTTTGACCACCTGGGGTTCTTTAACGTGCACCCAAATCTGAGCACACGGGCCTACAACATTTCCGCCTCCATCGGAAATACAGCCGCCGCAGCCGGGATTCGAACCCGCGTCCTGCGGGTCAGCAGCCGAGTACCTTAGCCACTAGACCACCGCGGCGGGGACTCTTTCCATGCTCACACATTATCACAGTGTTTGAACTTCGTGTTACACTTCACATAACAGAATACCCAGACAGCGGCACTTCTTTGGTTCTGCTTGAGGTTACACTGTAAAATCATGTCCCTTGCAGCACTGGCATTCAAAAATGCTCTTGAGACTACTTTAGCTGCTTGCCTGCAATGCAATTATAACATTATACTCATGCTACTCGAGTGTCATCAAGGGTGCAAAACAAACAAAAAACTACAAGTAGCTGACACTCGGCCCATAAGTTGGTCCACAGTGTGCACCTTTCGTCATACCAATATCTTCAATAATTGCGGCCTATCATTGTGATGCTTCGGTGCTGTTATAGTAATCAAACCATAAAATGTGATCTCTGTGAGACGTGAGCACAGAGAAGACAGTGGTAAACTTCATGGGCACTCAACTGTGGCACTAGCAGAGCCTAATGCTGCATAGCCTTAATAAGCGGCACCAACTAAAGAAGAAACCCTTACGGCACCGAAAAATGTGATTACATTATAGCAAACAGTTAGTTATAACAGTTGTGCTGACACCAGTAAAACTGCGGTCAGTAGCGCCAAACACGATGAACTCGCAAAGCGTACGGGGCTACATACCGCTGTTTTCAAGCATATTCTAGCGCTCTCACAATACCGTCAGCTTGCGTTCCAGCCCACAAGCTAATGGTACGTGACACAGCACTTCACTAAATGCGACAACCAAAATGTTAACAAATCAAAGCTTCAGATGATGATGATATGTGGGGTTTAATGTCCCAAAACCACCATATGATTATGAGAGACGCCGTAGTGAAGGGCTCCGGAAATTTCGACCACCTGGGGTCCTTTAACGTGCACCCAAATCTGAGCACACGGGCCTACAACATTTCCGCCTCCATCGGAAATGCAGCCGCCGCAGCCGGGATTCGAACCCGCGACCTGCGGGTCAGCAGCCGAGTACCTTAGCCACAAGACCACCGCGGCGGGGCAATCAAAGCTTCAGAGACGCGACAAAAAACTCACGAGAAATTGCAAAAAAGGGGCCCTTTTTGCAGAAGTCACGCGAAGCAGCTTTCCGTTGATGACGCCGCCAACAATCGTCAGCTAACCACGTCGAGTGATCGATACGCGCCAAAAGCAGCGGAAGCAGAGGCTATGGAATTACAGCCTCGCCGCAGCTCAGGTATACCGAGCAGAGTCCGACAGCCGAGAGGCACGACAATAGTACCTGCAACAAACCACATACACCTGACACAGTAATGTAGGCTTCACTTTCCAGTAACGTCAGATGCCAACTTAATCACGAGGCCTGACCTCAAATGAAACTCAACGGCACAGAGACACGTTTGTGAAGCTTGCACGCTATAAAAGCCGAGTGGTCACTGAAACTGAACGAGAATCAAATGATCGCAACGACAAAATCGGGACCCATCACAAGGCGCACAGTACACAAAATACGCAGAAGATCGATCGACAACGGTTACCTCTGTCACAACTCAGCTGTCACACTAGCAGATAGCCGTTGGTAATATAATCCCGTGTACTTATTCGAAACAACTGGGCCAATAGAATGCCTCCACGAAACATTGGTCAGCGTGTCGCAAAATCACACTGCACGAGCTACGTGCACGTTCCTGCCCAAGCCAATATACGCTTAACACGAACACTCACACACGCGCGCGCGCACTCGCCCTTCCGCCATGCACTGGTCGATGGATGGGGCGGTTGTGGAGCCTCCTGGCGTCGGATGCAGGTACAAGTGAGCGCCCTGGCCATGACCTACTACACTCCTGACCTGTTCAGATAGCGGGGTTCCTATGGGAGCGCGTGTCCCCGCTCTCGTTCAATCGCTCGCCGTAGGTGGCGCTACCTATAACCTGTTCGTCTGCTTTTTTACGATTGTTTTGTAGGCGCTGGAATAAGAATGCCTGCTTTCTGTGGTGAACTGCCGGCATATATGTGACTATTTCTTCCCATACATTGCTGGTCAAGTAAGCTGTTCAGTGCGCTCACGTACTTATAGCACACTTGTTGACAAACGTGGGAACCCGTGGATTTATATGATGTTGGACAGCCCATGCGTTGTCGCGTGCATTTTATTGCAAAAAAAATTCTGAATGTCTTTTAGTATTATTATTTCTGGATATTTCTAAATTGTGGATCATAAATTCGCACTATGAGTGCTTTGTTGGTTAAAATTTGACTACAAAGAGTGAAGGTGACGTCAGCGAACAGGTGCTGCCTAGCGCCACGCCGCTCGTAGGTGACGGCCCTAGCGGCAGAAGGTATGAACTAGAACGTGGGCGCTGGAAGAGGTGCTCTCTGGGCAGGTCAGGAGTGTAGTAGGTCATGGCCCTGGCTGTTCAATGTACGGACAGTTCGGGAAAACCGCGAGAGCGAAATAATCAGGTGCGGACACGTGAGTGTAAAGCTTCAACCTAGGGATTGCTCAAGGACGTGGGGACATTACGGTGACATGCATCGCCGCCATGCGAAGCGCGACACCACATTTATTGCACCAAAAAGAACAAATTGTAAAAAAAAAGGCAGCGGTAAATGAATTCAATGAGCAATGGCTTTGTTTTGGCAGCATCTCATAACATGCTCCTTCGCAAGAGGCAACGGATTGTGCATGACGCGAACGCCGCCTGAAACGTGCTTCCGCGCATCTGTGGAAATATGTAGGAGGTGCACAATCCTAATAAATTACAGCGTAAATTAGTATGAAATAGTAAGTATTCCAACTGTCGCGCCCTCAGATCCGCTGTGCCGTGGCGCAGTAGTTCCTTTCGCCGCTTTTGCTCCTGCGGCATCAAAAACAAAACCTATCGATAAAATTGTGGTGCACAGCTGCCCTGCGTGTTGTCTTTCGTCTCGTTATTTCTCTGTTTGCACCCAAACGTAGATAAAATCCAAACTAAATGTTTGTTTTCCATTTCTGAGGAACAAGCTTGGTCACAGTAAAGCTAGGGTCCCCAAGACCCGCAGTGAAGCCGCTGACGACATGCCCTCCCTTGAGAACCGACAACACATAGCGGATGGCCAGAGCAGCCAGGACTAGCACACAATAAAGTGAAAGAGATATGTATATTCGTTCGACAAACACCTATACAATGAAAACAAAACTATGCACAGTAAATTTACCGTGTGCTAGCAGAGAATGTAATCTCGACAAACTGACGTCGATGACGATCTACCTGCATGAGCCGTTTCGTGGTTTCGATGTGTAAATGCAACGACCTGAGAGTACGCGTAATATCCTATATTTGCAAACCTTTTTACTGCATATATTTTTTTTAAAGAGACTAGCAAATTGACAGTAACACACGCAGAGTTAAAGCAGTTCGGAGTACACTTCTGCTCAGGAAAACATGCATGTTCACATCGCCTGTGAATAAAGCCTACATTTCCTCATTTAATCGTAGGTACCGCTCACGAAAGCAACCAGCAGTGAATAAGAAAGGGTTTTCTTTTTTTTTTCATTTATTCCTTCATGGTTTTTTTTTTTTTATCAGCCAACGCGCGAACTTTCGACAGTGTACTAGAAAGTACACTCTACTTTCGATCACTCATCTAGCAAAGCGCGCGGAATTCAAACAAAAGACATTGATCGTCCGGTGGTCTGATCTCGCCTTGTGGCTATACTTACGTTATTTCCACCTACATGACAGTAGCCTGACTTGATATACACGCCCGTGCAGTGAAAAAGTTATCGTACGAGAAAAACTTTGCACTGCTCGATCGTGTTGCACTGCGGCACGTGTGTGTGTGTGTGTGTGGGGGGGGGGGGGGGGGGGGGGCTGAAGCTTTACTATTTCGTTTCAACGAAACCCGGAAATATCTCGCTCTTTCCTCGACACAACGTAGTCATCAACTATACACGCAGCAAGCGGGAGTAAACGAGCTAGAAAGCTACGATCGATGAGCCTGCGCCGTCTTCTCCCGGAAGTTGATTGTTTCTTATCCTTTTTTTTTTATTTGGAGGATAAATTTGGGTGCTATTTTGCAAAATGATAACAGGGCAGAAATATTTTCTTTTGTCATTCTGAAGTTGAGGTTTCTTCGGTGTAAATATACAAATGTTCCCTCTAGTACAGTTATGAAAATAAATAAAATGACAGTAAACAGTTGGGTGTGTTTGTTAAGGCATTGGTTGAGAGACAGTGCTGCACGCCCAACAGGGTCTAATTTCGTTCTCCTGAGGCACAGTTGCTTGGGAGTGTGCACCGCAAACTTATAGCAACCCAAAGTAAGCGGGTGAAATTCTAAAGAAGAAGAGAAATAAAAAAGAAAGTTTGTTATGTGGTTTCGAAATTCTCGGTGAAGTCGGGTTGAGCCCGGGTTCTCATGAATTATTTTCAGGGCGTTATAATCGGGTGAAATCGGGTTTTACCTGAAAAATAATATATCCTATGTAGCCTGTACAGTATCCATATACCAGCAGCAGTGACGTATATCTCGGGGGGTTAGGGGGGGGGGGGGGGGGTTCAGGGACACTTTTTGCAAGTGCCGCCCCCCTCCTCCAGAGGTTTAGCGTCCGAAAGTCATAGTTTAATCGCTTCTTGACAGTTGACAAAGGAGTATCACTGACTCGCCGAAAAACCTACTCTGACATAAGTAGCGCCGCAAAGAGCAGAAACGAAGAAAATATAATTAGGGCACGAGCTTCACGAATTACTACGTTCATAATCAGAAACGCATTTTCCAAGAATATTGTTGGAGGCCCAAGAAGCGAAAAGCTCGAATATGCCTGAAGGTCCTCACATGGCAGCAGTAACATTAAAACCAACGTACATAACATGTTCAGCCCCCCCCCCCCCCTACATGCAAATTCACAATTTCAATGCAACTAAAATAAAGAACATGTTCATTGGCAACTACAAACACATGGTATTTATAAAAATAGAAATCTAATACATTTAATGAGAGGAATTGTCAAAATACATTGTTATGCATCAGAAACAGTGGTAGTTTAAACACTGAGGGAAGCAGTAATATAAACATCTCTGTGATGCTTATTATGACGATAAATTGTTTATTGAAACACTGAGCGTGAAATAAATAACAGAAAAAGAACAGGATCCTGAAAAGTATGAGTTGTTTCGCTTTGCCTCCATTCATATTCGCAAAGGTGCTTGTTTGCGCGTTAAAGTATTTTGAGTCAATTTTTCCGTTTTCATTTTATTTAACAACGAAGCTAGCCTATGTCTTAGTGCTTGAATGATATAATTTGTCCGCTGGCATGGTAGACACCACCTGCTTTGGGTGCAAGTGCGCGAGCCACTCTTTTTTTTTTTGTAATCAAGTCGTGACGTATGAAGAAAGATTTCTTATTGTCGGAGCCGAAACGAAGTGAATATAGAAGTCGGTGTTCGTGAAGACTATTGCGCGTGTTATATTGTTGAAAAAGTTGCACAGTGGCATGAAAATTGGATACATTAATTCACTATTTGCCAAAGCGCGCGTTATAGAACTTCAAGTACGCGAAATTCCTTTTTGTGGTGGTGGCTCTCGCAAGCACACAATAGTTCAGGTGCGATTCAAACAAGACGTAATATAGTCTGCAATTTAATCCTCTCTGGAAAACAATCCCGACAGTGCGGAAGCACTCCTGCGTCACATGGCAACAATTTTACGGCTGGTTCAACGTCATGGGTCATCTTCTAAAAAGTAACGCCTGGCACTTTTAATTTCCTCAAAATTTCAATGGGAGCACCACCCAAGAATATTTTTATTGAGACAAGACCACCTGCCTCTAGCATTGAATGATATGGCCTTTTACTTTGATATGTTAATTGTTAGAGCATTTTTAGACGACCATGCCGACAGATTAGAAAGAATAACGGGAGATTTCTGCAACAAATCATCAAGTTCATGGCAGACAAACTTCTATTGTCAGCGTACGGCATGCATCGCTAACAATTTCAGCGATATCATTTACATGAACATTGAATAGAGTCGGTCTTAATTCGCTGCCTGCATGCGCTACTCCCACTTTCTTTATATGAGGAGCAGAATTTCTCAATCGCACTGGGTCCGCCCTGGAAGATACGATCGAAACAACAAGTTTGCCACGCCAACGGATACCGTAGCCGTCCAGCTTTCTAATCAAACTTTAATGATTGAGGCGATTGAATGCGATCAGGTTACTTCTCGTGTGCCGCAAATGTTCATTACGCTCAGCTTTAAAATGCGAAGTAAATAAAGAATTCCAATCATCTACCGTTACTTATACATGTTGATTGATCGATTGACTGATTGATCGATTGATTGATTGATTGATTGATTGATTGGTTGATTGATTGATTGATTGATTGATTGATTGATTGATTGATTGATTGATTGATTGATTGATTGATATGTGGGGTTTAACGACCCAAAACCACCATATGATTATGAGAGACGCCGTATAGTGGAGGGCTCCGGAAATTTCTACCACCTGGGGTTCTTTGACGTGCACCCAAATCTGAGCCCACGGGCCTACAACATTTTCGCCTCCATCGGTAATGCAGCCGCCGCAGCCGGGATTCGATCCCGAGACTTGCGAGTCAGCAGCTGAGTACCTTAGCCACTAGACCACCGCGGCGGGGCTTACTTATGTTAATGATTTCTTGGAACTAATTGACGATGAAATTTGCATCCGATGGTTCCACCATCAAGAATGTGTTACTTAGAAAGCAATGGCAGGTGAACATGAATATTCCTTACAAGAAAGATTCGAGGGGTAACTGACGGGAAGGTACGTCTAACAGGTATACAGGATGAGGACTGAGCTGAAGTTAAAGAGCTGTACTATTACGCGTTACAAGAGAAAAGTCTTTTTTTTTTCATTTAATCGTTTACTCCGAATGACATGTTAGCTATAAACAGGCTAGAACGTAGTTGCCCAGTACTGTTAGGTAATGGTCCGTTATCTGGCACGAGCCACATACTGTTTTTTTTTATTTGAAAGAAATTTAATATATTTCCATAAATAAAAATAAAACCTATATTTACGAAAAACAAAATGGCCGCCATCGCAAAATGTGTTTCCCCTTGTAGTTGTTCCAGATCTACACCCCTGACTGGAAGCATAATACTTCTCCTGAGTGTAGCGATTGTTTGAGGATAAGTCCGCAGTCGGCGGCATAATGGTTACGTTGCGGCCGTGACCGGCAACCGAGCACTGGGGCTCGGCTGCTGAACTGAAAATCGCAAGTTCGATGCCGGTTGCAGTGGTCGCATATTAATAGAGGAAAGATGCTAGAATTTCGTGTTCTGTGCGGCGTCAGCGCACGTTCCCAGAAGTGGTCAAGATTGCCGGAGCAATCCACTACGGCGTCCTTCATATAATTATGGCACGTCAAGTTACATATATTAAGCCGCACTCGCGACACCGAGCACCAGTCCGGGGTACTTTAAACCGGTGAATGCTAGTGCCCCCTCCCATCTAAAAAAAAAAAAAAATCTGATACACCGCTGCCCGGCGGCGCTAGCAATCGAACCCAGTACTTCATGCAGAGGAGGCTTCAACCACCCGCCCACGGCTGCAGTGGCCATAAAGCGAGGCAAATTTTAATCGATTAACATCTCCCCCTTCCTTTTGGTCGAATTCAAAGAACAGAATGTTTCATGACAGATGAAAAAAAGAAAAGTGAGTGGTGACGTAGGTACGTGCTTCTCACAATGGCCTGCCTTTGGTCCCTGGCTTTCTTGATGTAAAGATGGGAAGCAAACAGCTAGCTCTTTGAACGCAGCTTTAGGGGCATTCGGCCGCCATCATTGTAAGAAACCTGCGTTGCCATAACTATAAAGTAAACGTGCGAGCGAGACTAGCGCCCCCACGCAGGCGACTCGGTGAGCAGAGCACCCCGCCCCCCTTCTCGTGCGCACGACTGTGCCATAAATGAACCAGTAGTAGTCGCCTCGTTCTTATACATACCGCTCGGCTATGCAGTTCGTTTGTTTTGCAGAGGCGGCGCTAACAGGGGGTACGGTCCAATCCCCCCTCCTCAATTTTCATCTCCCCCCTCTCCCCCATAATTAAACATAGTAAAAAAATGCATGAGTTACTTGTTCCTGTTTTCCAGCCCCCCCCCCCCCCCGGACGAACTCACTTGCCATAGGTGCCCCCCCCCCCCCCCAGCAGCAGTGTTCTGGCGCCGCCCCTGTCGTTTTTATTTATTTATTTACATTTCACCTACATCACCGTGAGGCATTACGTAGGGGAGGTACACATAATAGTTTGACTACATAGTTTTCAATCGAAACAATACATTCAACAAATAAAACAGCACTCAAAATATTTGAAGAGAAGAAAAAAAACACTCGAATATTGGTGAGCGAAAACAACGTCACAGTCATGCATTTGTAAACACCCACACGCTTACTCGGCTGCGGGAGGTGGCACGTTCGAAACCCACCGCCGGACACCCACCGGTAAAATTGGGTACAAGCGCACGCCCGGCCAGGCGCTCGGCTTTTTTCAGGGCGTTGCGCTTGGGGGAAGCCTCGCAAACCCCGCTAAGCCCTTCGGGGCGAAAACCCAGTTTCGAACGCAAACCTAGCCTGCAAAGGTGGTTCTTGACGTGGTCTCCACGTGGATGACCTTCGGGTCGGTTCTTAGTGGCAGTGATATTGTAGGAGTTGTTACAAGGAAGAAAAAAAGGATTCATTATCAGTTTCATTGACGAGATCATCCGGTAGACGGTTCCATTCCTGTATTGTTCGATCACTGCGATCAGTGCACACAGACTTGACGGATTCGAAAATCATCTGCGGCAAAACATTCACTATGGAATAGGTTATCATTCGTGACAAAAAAAAAAAAAGCCCGACTTGTATGAAGACAAAGAAAGAAAACACGGCCGGACTTCTTGCAAGTTGCCCTTTTTTTGTCATGAACTTTACCAACATGGCCAATTGGCATTTGTTGTACAGGTTATTGTTTCATGACTTTGAAAGGTGTTGCACGGGCCCTTCAAAATAAATTAGCGTAGTCTATAAAACTGTGATGAATGCAATTGCATTGTTACGTACAGTAGCGCTCACGTATTTAGTTGGGTAATAAAACAGTGTCCTCAGGACGAAATAGGGCGCGACGATATTCATTCTCGGTAAGGGCGCAGGTTGAGCGTGTAGAATGCAAGGAGAAGGGGGATATACATTTGCACGGGAGGGGTGGCAGGCCCCCGTTTCTCTTTATCTCATGTTTATCCTCACTGAAGTGTAATAGATCATGAAAGCGGTCGAAAATAAACAATACGGTAACCATTTGAGTGAACCAAGTTAATTCGAAACTATTCTTTACTCATTTTCACTCTCACGCCCTGTTAACGTTCGTGTGTGTATGAGCATGACATATTCTCTTTTCCAGGCCCACTGCCGTTCTACAAATAAAGAGAAGTGTTGACAACTTGCTTTTGACCTAGCTGGTGTATATGCCTGATGCCGTATAACGTGTTAAATAATAGTCAAATAATAACAACTGTCGCAGAACCAAGGATGTGGATCTGCAAAACATTTTGCATGGGGGCGGGTGCGTCAAGCTCGTGGGGAGGGCGGGGGCATATTCAACAAAGGTATACCCTTTCGCTGCCGTGACCCGACTGGCAAAGATTTGTAACGTGCAAAGTCGGCAATCCTGGGGGCCGTTTCAGACGGAAACTTGTGCGGTTTCCGATCGTGCGAATCAAGCTGTGTAGCTTATCGATCGTGCATCGAAAGTATTCAAACTTTCCTCCCCTCCTTGCGAACGCCCATGCACACTCCGAGGCGTCCCTCGGCAACAGACGGGATTGACGCACGTCCGAAGGTACGCGGCCGCCAGGAAGCGCCGCCGCATAGCGTGTTTATAAAAGGGACGCGGTCGGTCGCCGCAGTCGGACAAAAGTGGTCATGGCGCTACAGCGCCCGACTCCGGCCGCTCTGCGGTTCGCCCTCCTGCTGCTTCTGTTGCGCCCGTCGTGCCAAGAGGCGTGCCGTGGCTTGGCCCAATACCGCGTCACCCTGGCCACTGCCTGGACGGCCAGTCGCTTCCCCAAGCAGTACCCGATGTGGCGGCCACCCGCTCAGTGGTCGCAGCTCCTCGGTACGTATTGTATAGCGCATGCCACGCAGCAGTCATTCGCGCATCGGAAGAGCTCACCACAGAGAAATTCCTCGGTACGTATTCCCACACAGCAGTCATTCGCGCATCGGAAGAGAAGGTACAACGAGACCACATGGGCAGTGCACGACGCGCCGAACAAATAAGCTCCGCATAAATTCAACTATCATACCGCACATCTATGCAGAAAATACCCGCCGCTATATATGACCAAGTTGTTATATGGCACTGCTCACCTGAAGGTTGCGAGATGGAATAGTGTGCGAGTCCTTGTCGACCTTCTCTTTTGGCTCATACCCGCTGTGGGGGATCGGCCAATGATTGAGTGGTCTTACAAAATCTTCAATTTTAGAGTAAGTTAGAAAATGAAAACGCTACAAATTTTAGAACGAAATTTTGGTGCTCATTTAAATATATACCTATAAACATTTTGTATTAGTAATAGATAATTACCTAGATCACAACCTAACGTGAAATGTCGACACAGAAGAAGAATAATACAAATCAGTTTGGTCGTTTGGTTTCATTCAGATAAATACGAACAGCCTCACAAACTTTTGCACTGGCAAACCCAGAGACTCCAAAAGACAGAATCACGGGCATAAATAAATTCATTCAAATAGCGCGTAAAAGACTTCCTAACTTGGATCTACGAACTGTAGTAAATCGCCTACACGCCAAAAAGAAATTATCCATTGTTTCTAGATTGCTACAGAAAGCGCACATTGGAGAAAGAGGCTGGCGAGACGTATATATATGTTGGTAGAAATTAAGTTTCGGCACCGGACAGCGCAGCCTTGTCATTGCGACTTCTATAGTTTACGTGTGTCACAAAAGGATCGGTGCCAGGGATGTAGTAAGTGCCGATATTCTGTAGAATGCGTGAGTGATGTATACCTGCAAAGCGGTCCATAATGGTAGTACGCTTGCGAAATCGCGCAGCCATTTCATAAGCGGATGGTGGAAAACACGGTAAAATTGGTTCACTTATTGATGACTTCGCTAAATGATCAGCCATTTCGTTTAGGAGCAGCCCTTTATGACCCGGCACCCAAACTAATCTAACTTTTCTCAAATGTGGGGGTATTAATGCACGAAACGTACTTGTGCGATTCAGCACCAATAGAAAGTGCAGCGCAAATAAACAGAGAATCTGTCTGATGTAACAGCCGATGTAATTTTCGTGTTTACCTTTCGTAAGGCGAGTACCACTGCCAGGAACTCAGCACAAAAACGGGTATGAATTCAGGTAGTCTGAGGGACCAAATCCAAGTTCGGGATGAATATACCAACACCTGACTTTTCGTCACGCTGTGATGCATCTGTGCCAATAATTACACTTGACGCTCTGCATGTGTTCTTGCATTAAACCATTCATAGTGTGATGGGGGAGTAACTTTGCATTGTTATGGAAAATGTCGTCAAATTGAATATCTACATCCATGGGGTGAATTATCGCTAGTCGGCGTTATCTCGCACTTACGTAGATTCAGCGGGTCCAGTAAACGTTGTACAAATATAATTTGTTAGGTGTGAAACCATGGCCATCTAACACCGAAAAATAATGCCGGAGAGGATATAAATCCTGTCTCTGACTGCTGTAGTGGTGACTCGTGAATTCTTAAAAAAAACGTCTGAATGGTCAAGATACGAAACTTGCACGAAAGAGAAGGAACTCTCGATTCATATAAAACCCAGTTATAGAAGCCTTCTTATGAGGGCCAAGGCATAAGCGTAACGATTCCCTTTCTAAACCAATGAGACGCCGGATTTTGTAGGCTGGAGCACCAGAGAAAAGTACGCATCCAAATTCTAGAATAAAACGAATTCGATATATCATTAGTATACTATAGTGTATCTCTTCTCATGCCTATTCGGTAGCTGCTTATCCTGTCGAAGGCTCGTGAACCTTCTCCAGCTATATATATATGCATTCAATCTGTTGGCGCCAGTTAAGAGATGCATTATAATTACCCCAAGATGTTTAATAGATTCTACCTGTGGTACGTCCTCAGAATGGTAACATAATGAGATGTGCAAGGGGTATCGCAAGGGGAAGACAAGAAGGGCACATTTACTCGGATTCAGTAGGAAGTGATTGCCATCGAGCCAGTTCTCCAAGGTGTTAAGATAACACCGCTGCTGGTCGTTTGAACGTCTGAATGGTGTCCGCCGTTGCAAAGAAGGCGAGATCGTCTGCATAAACATAAGTTGTTATGTCCTGGTTACGTGGAATGGTGCTCATTAGCATATTAAATAGCACCGGGGACAGCACTGAGCCTTGCGGTACTCCTCTCGTTTGTGTGTGCATAGTCGATGAAAAGCCGCCTTTGAAACAATAAAACTTCCTGTCCACAAGAAACTTGTGAATCCACGTTACTATGTATGCCGGAAAACTGAAAGATTCCAGTCGATCTATCAAAATGCCATGCTCTTAAGAGTATCGTATGTTTTAGCGATATCCAAAGTAACTAAAGCTACATATGTGTTGTCCCGTCGGCCTAACTGTTACGACTTTCTAAATCAACATGAGAATTCCATATTGAACACCAAGCCCTGAACCCGATTCGACAGGGGCTTAGTATTGATCTCTCTTGAATAAATCTATTGATTCGAGTTTGGATAATTCTTTCAATCGATTTCACCAGATTTGATATCAAGGCAATTGGCCAATATGTACCCGCCGTCTTGTTTCTTCAGCAACAGCATAATTTTAGCTAGTTTTCATTCCTTGCGGTATCCATGATGTTCATCAAGGAATAATTCACAATATCTGAAGGAACATTAGGCGATTCCTGAAGTAAAACTTTTAAGATCCTGAGAGCGAGCAGAGCATTAGGAATGGTCTACGGAGTGACTCCCTCCACAAAGGCAGCACTTTTCTGATGTTGCTGATTATTCGCTTAAGGAGTGGCTTTCGCTGCAGACGCGGCAACGAAGTTTGCATCCTGCCGCACTATGGCCGAATATACAGCAGTTTTTACATTGGACTGGAAGCGAGGGGCTCCACGTGAGAGATAAGAGGCCATAGCTTTATATCTGACGGGCAAGTTGTATACTCACAAATCTAGCAATGACAGATTCGGTTGGTATCCTCTCTTTATTAATCGGGCGACTACAACGGTAAACGTAAATCACGCCTGCTCCTGAAAGCCTGTCTTGGGTCTCTTCTGGACTCAGTTTGGAATCGACGCCCCTTACGAGGCCTTTAGTACACGCAAGGTGAGGCGGAAGAAAATCATTCACCGGGGTTGACGCGAACGAAGTACACTTAACCAGATCCTGCACACAGATGGTGACCTACACACTGTGCCAACTCGTCCAAATAGGCGCACGCCGGTGATGGTCTGAAAGTGGTTAGATGTGGCCTTCGGTTCGTTTTGAACAGTCTGTGGGGGTTCGTGAGCTTGATGAAGCCTCCATTTCCAGGCACCAGTGCGACAGGAATGCTGCTGACCCCATTATTGCTGACCTCACTGTCACCTAAAGAATTGCATAACGGCACTTCGTTAGGTGACAGTGACCCTGACCAGGTGAATCGCGCCTGGTCAGGAGAATCGGTCGGTATCAGCACAACAGATTGGGGTAAATGCAAAGGCAAAAAAAAATAAACTAGAGACTACAAAACAAAAACTTAAAACCAAGACCACTCAATACTTAGCCAACAGCACCACAGTCAAACCGCAGTCCCGGAGGAACGGCTTGTAGGACGATGACACCTAGGTCCGTCCTCACTCGGACAGGACCACTTCACCTATAGCACGTGTCACGCAGTCAGGCTTCCAGTCAGAATGGAATCCTCGATTGATTGATTGATTTGTGGGGTTTAACGTCCCAAAACAACCATATGATTATGAGAGACGCCATAGTGGAGGACTCCGGAAATTTTGACCACCTGGGGTTCTTTAAGGTGCACCGAAATCTGAGCACACGGGCCTACGACATTTCCGCCTCCATCGGAAATGCAGCCGCCGCAGCCGGGATTTGAACCCGCGACCTGCGGGTCAGCAGCCGAGTACCTTAGCCACTAGACCACCACGGCGAGGCAGAATGGAATCCTCGCCGTGGAGGCTGCAAAATTTCTATGCTGTACGGGGCCGTGTTTTTACATTTAATCCCCGGTTGGTAATTCCCGGAGCCCTCCACTACGGACTTTACTACGGATGTCTCTGATAATCATAGCGTGGTTTTTGGGACGTAAAAGCCCAACAGTTATTATTACTTCGCAGAAAACACGTGGCGCACTTTCACTATAAGACGATGATGTGTTCGTCAAGCGAACGTCGAAGATGCCAGCACGCTGCCGATAAGCTTTGAAAGTGGCCAATAGTTAAAACTTTGCATAAACTTCTAAGGATACACGAGGGCATAACTGGCGTTCTATACGTGCATGAAAAATTCTGACATTCTATCGAGTAATACCTTACTCCCTTTCTCGTTGCTGGAACAGAAATACATGAGCCTACACGGAGTGACAGGAAGTCGACATTATAAAATCAAGATGCTTGCCGCATAAATCGTTTAATTTAAGAAAGAAGAAATACGAATTGGATTGACGGCGGCGCAGTGTTGTTCACGTCCTTGCAGTGCGTGGATGCAGCTTCGCATGAGCCTGCATATGCCATGTCTTGCGCAACGTTTCACATATACGTATACGTGCTCAAATACCCTTTGTATACTTGTGTATACGGCTGGTGGTTTTAAAGTAAATATTTACTTTTTGGTCCTTTGAAAGCCTGAGGGAAGTAACGTCATATTACAGGACACACGCGGTTACTTTTTTTTTTTAGGGAAGTGGTTTTTAAACGCTTGAAGTGACACTCAAACGAAACAATGAAGTATGTTTGTAATATTTTTTGCATGTTAATTTGGTCATCATTTACAGAATAGAAACTGGAGGTCTAGGTTTGGTTTTTAAATTCGGCGCTGAGATATATCCGCGCATAGAGTGTCAGCGGGGTGATCATAAAAACACGGCAGCCAGGGGAAGATAGAAGCTTGGAGATTTCAAAGCGTGTGTGTGTGTCGTGCGTGTTTGGTATTTGGGCCACATTGGCTCAGCAAAATTTCTTGAAACACTTTGCCTCGAGTCTCTAGCTGTCCCCCTTTTAAGGCAACGTACGTCATGTTTGCTGATTGAGAACTATGCAGGTCGGGATCTGTGACGTCACGGCTGTTGGTGCGGGAACTTGAAGGTGGCGTCACCACGTACATTTTCGTCTTGCGCGTTTCTTCGCTTCCACGAAGCGTCTTCGGACTGCAAGAGTTACAGTTTTAAAGGCGGTAATCGTTCTTGGGGTACTTCGACGCAAAAATTTTGATCTGTCTGTCCGTACATTTGTCTGTTTGTCCGCTGTAACGATACCCCACACGGCACCAAACGGTACCCCAAACGGCCAACCCCATCCACAGCGCCCACTAATATTGCTCAAGTTTCACAGTTCATACTTGTGCGATTGTCAATAAAAAACATTTATTGCACATATTTGAGGCACCATATAACAACACATCAATGTTTTGTATGCGTGTAAGAACAGGTGGATCCTGCCCTCTGGCTACCTCCATATTTGTCGCTTACACACACACACACACACGCATGTATATATATATATATATATATATATATATATATATATATATATATATATATATATATATATATATATATATATATATATATATATATATATATATATTGTAAATCTTTTTTTGTTTAGAACATAGGGCGGTCATCCAAGACCACGCAGGTGGGGAACAGAACATTAAAGAAATTATACAAATATAAAAATAATCAAGTTTCACAAGAATCCGCCAATGTGATGCAGCAAAACATATATATCCACATGCAAAAAAAATTGCAAGAATACAGAGCGAAACAAATAAAGCAATGTCTTTAATCCCAAATAAAATCAATATATATGCAGACACACATATTACGTTTATACACACTGACACGCGTCAAGTAATCAGTAAATACTCAGCAACAGTAGTTCGAAGAAGTCATGCTGAAAGAATTGAAAAAAAAAGGCATTACGTCACTGGTACAATCAGGTTAGGGTTGAGATGTTCCGCACAACGCGCGGCTACGCCTTCAAATGTACCCCCCCCCCCCCCCACCTCATGAAAATATAAAAAAAGAAGGCGTCAGGAGGGGAGGAAATAACGATCCATTTTTTAAACATTGCTTCTGGGCGGAATCATTCAATATGCAAAATCAAAGGGCCCTGATACACGGGTGCTAAGACTCCGTGCGAGCGCGAGAACTGTTTTGCACCAGTATCGCGCTCCATGTAGTAATTTATTCCTCTTGCGCGAGTATCGCTTGTCCAGTTCTTAGCCCCATGTTCGAAAGCTTACCCACCGCAGTGGCCGAGTCCGAATGGGCAAGCTCAAACGCTCGCGCGACGAGCAATGGGCGTTTGAAATGCTCTTGTCCCGGTTATTCATTTTTGGTTCTCTGAAGCTGAGGACCGGACAAGCGGTCAGGATGACGCTCGGCTGGTCGCTGCAGGCATGAGCCACGACGCCAGCGTGCACGTTTGGCACGAGGGCCGTTCGGCTAGCGAAGGCTTGCGCCAGTTTGCCGAGCACGGGCGCGTGGGCCGACTGAGCAGCCAGCTGGTGCAGGGTTTCGGGGGCGTGCTGGACGTCTTCCACGGACCAGCCATCGCCAAAGGCAGCGGAGCATCGAGCGCCGCCTTCTTCGCCGACGCACGTCACTCCAAGGTATGCGCGCCATCAAAGTCTCGGGAAGTCTCCACCGCACTTCCTTGCGAGCCGGATTTGTTTGCCCCGCGATGCAGTTGCGTTTCGATCGACGCAGAAGCATTGCCGCGTACTGTGTATTCGAGGGCGTCACCTTTCTGCAACGCTTGCTTTGAGTGCATGATAAAAAGCTCTCCACTACAGCGTCCCGCTCGAACCATAGCGCACTTTCGGAAAGTTAATTAAGCTATTTTGTTAATTAAGTCTAAATATGAAAATAATCTTTGCGCGAGCATGCCTATAAGTAAACAAGTACACACGTCCTCATGAAGCCCGCGCTAAGTCATGTCAGTCCAGGTTATCGCCATAATCGTTTTCTCAGGGGATGATGCATTGAGATGAATAGAATATCATCATATTTCTCGTAAAAAGGACTCGCGTGTGGTACGTGTGCTTTTTGGTGTTCCCTGGCTTACGCAGTATGCCGGGTGACACCAAAAACGCAGTATGCCAAATGCGGTATGCCAAATGAAAGTTATATATACAACAAACTGAAAGAACTATGGCACAAAGCGCACATGGTCAATGGGAGGGCAGCTATACATTAAGATGAAAATTTCCTGTTTCTTATATGAGACAGTGAAAATTTCACAAGTCTAACGTTTCGTGCGGCCGCATCGTGTAGCAAGTGGCCGTTATCCCTTTTCGTGAATCTCCCCTCAGGTAACGGCCATGTCGAGGCTAGTTCCCAGCCCGGACTGGTTCGTGGGCGTCGACGGAGTCGAGCTGTGCGAGGGCGGTCACTGGCGCAATTCGTTGCTTGCCGACGCGCAGCCGCTAGACGCCGGCACCGACCGGGGTCTGACATTCACGGCGCCGCGCTGGCCCTCCCAGCCGCCCGAGAACGTGACGCGCATCACGGCCCGCTCGCCGAGCCACCCGGGAGCCGCGTTCCACTACCCGCACCTCGAGAAGCTGCCTCGCATCGGCGTGTTCCAGTTCCGGAAGCTGCACGAGTACGCCGCACACGGGGACACCTTGGCCGACCAGCCAGACGGTGAACGGGTGACCGCACCTTCCTCCGAACCCAGCAGTACCACGAGCAAGCCACCGACGGGAAACGGTAACTGCCACGTGCTCCGTTGCAAACTTTCTCATTTCAGAGTCGTCGTCAAAAAAGAGCTCCCTCCTTTGATTTTTGAGCAATTTATCGAAGCTCTGTTCTCTTTCATCTCCCCCATCCCTCTCCCATGCGCAGGGTAGCAAACCGGCTGCCTATAGGTTGGTTAACCTCCCTGCCTTTCTTTTCCCTCTATTTTCCTTCCTTCCTTATCGAAGAGAAGTGTCACTGAAGGGTTCAATATCTTGGTAGCATGACGTGTGCAATGCTCGCCATAAAAGGAGAGGGGGGGGGGGGGGTGCAGCTATGCCGCAGTCCCATACCATCGTTGATCGATCGAAAGAAACAATTCAGGCCGACCTCTATGGGCTTTTCTTTCATAATGAACTTCTCTCTCAAACTCCGGAATGGATGCAAACCTGAAAACGAAGCGATGGTGTGTGTCTCACACCGGTCTCCCATTGGTGCCCGGCTTTCCGGTGTAAAGGTGTGGAGTGAATAGTTATTTGAGCGCAACATTATAGGGATGTTTGGTCGCCATTATCGTAAAATAAAAGAGAGAGGGGGGGGGAGGTAGAACAAAGAAAAACCTGGAGGGCGCTTAAACTCGAAGCTTATTTTATTTTACTTGCATCATCGCAATTTTTCGGTCACGGAGAAGATATATATCTATTTTATTTTCGCTCACAACCCACGACACCAATGCCGATGCCGGAACTTCTGCGAAACGAGCTATTTAACGTTATCACGTTAGAACATGTGTAGCCATAACCCTGAACAGTAAAAACAGAGCGCAGAATTGGCGTGGGGTGGGCACAACCCTCTCTCGGCCGCGCGCCAATGGCTGTTCGTCACAATCACACGAATAAAATAAAAAAAACTGAATACGAAGAAATACGAAGGGCCAATTACTTGTTTTATTTGTTTAATATACGAAAATAATGAATGAATGGGCCAGTGGTTGACAAAACAGTCTTCGAGGACCTGAACCAACAGAATAGTCTGTAAAGAAGAAAAAAACGCTGGTGCGGCAAGGGGGAGACGTTTCATTGAAATACGTTTGTCACTATAATCACCATCCGACAGTGATAACTCCGTAATAATAAGCAGGGTTAGAAATTCCTAGAAGGACATATTTCTAATTGATTCCCGTGGTGTATGTACCATATATACCAGATGGATTTAAGAGTGCCCTTTGAAACGTTCATACCTACTATATATACAGGGCGATTCAGCTAAAAATCACCAATCAATAAAAAAATTAAAAATGAGTGCTACGCTTCTCCAACTAGCGCACTATTGTTCATAACTGTATGTAGCGCGTCAGAATGTATATTTTTGTTATTTACCAAGCACGGTAATTAACAAAAAATTGCTTTATGAGCTTTTTAAATACTGACTCTAGAAAAAAATTCAATACAATACTTGTAGCTTTTATCCAGAAATAACAAAATCTTCAAGTTAAGGTAAGATAACAACGTTGAATAATTTTTTGTTTCCCAGGGTTTGTTTAAAATGCGTGAAATAAAAATAAACCACCTGATTGCCGCCTAACGCGCGGTGCCAAGGAAAGCTCTCGTGCCACTTCTTCGCGGACAAATGTTTTTATTTTGGCTATTGGCGACGCTTGGTCATGACTATCGGTCACACTAGACAGTGATGCCAAATCGTGCGCTGAAGGACGTCTTATCAGAGCTCGCTGCTTCCGCAATTCATCGTAGCTTAGGCAGAGGCTAATTACGTCGTCAACAGTGGTCGGGCTTTTCGCCAAGAGCATTTGAAAAGCGTCGTCGTCAATCCCTTTGAGGATGTGCTTACATTTTTCAGCTTCCGTCATTGCGGCGTTCACGCGTCTGCACAAATCGACGACGTCTTCTATGTAACTTGTGAAGGTTTCACCCGTTTCTTGTGCGCGTGTGCGTTAACGCTGCTCGGCACGAAGTTTTCGGACGGCAGGTCGATCGAAGACTGCTACAATCGACGTTTTAAATTGCGACCACGTTCGGACGTCTGCCTGGTGGTTTCTAAGCCAAAGGCTGGCTACACCCGCGAGATAGAACGAAACGCGTGTCAACTTGTCCGCGTCCGTCCATCTGTTTAAAGCGCTCACCCGTTCGAAAGTCGAGAGCCAATCTTCAACGTCGTTGTCATCTGTTCCACTGAAGATTGGAGGCTCCCGCTGAGGAACACTGCCTGGACAGGTGGCCGGAGCAGATGGAAGCGTCCGCTGATGGGCGTCCGGCATAGCAGAAAGTAGATGTCGAGAACGGAGTTCCAGGATGGTAGCGGCAAGATATAGGGGACGGTACCCGGCACGGCTCCGCCAAATATAAAGGAGATTTATTCAGTGGAAAGGTTGTTGCTAGTCAGGCGATGCCCCAGCCGCAGTTCACGAGCACGAGCCTTTAGCTGCTGCCTCTGCGCCCGAGTATCTCCTCTTCTTTACAATATATATATATATATATATATATATATATATATATATATATATATATATATATATATATATATATATATATATATATATATAATGGCTAGCTACGAGAAAGACGGTTGTGACCACATTTAATTGGGGTGCTTTGCAACGAGCGTTCTCGCATTCCATCCGCGTCGCAATTCGGCCACTGCAGAAAGCGGATCACACTCGCAACCTCGGCTTCACGAGCAGATAAAAGGCTCAGAGACACCGACGGGACTACAGCATCTCCCGAGGATTGTCGACATGTGTAAACAACGCGTGAGAAAACATACAACTGCTCGCCTTCCTGGGTCCGGCCGCCTGTTCTCGAACCATGTTGCCTGCAGCGCAAACGGTTTCGTTTGCAGCCTCAGCATGCGCGTGTTTTCCACGCCAATCAACTGCCAGAGGCGGCTCGTATACAGAAGCCGGCACCGCGAGCATCTCCGGTTCCTGCTCAATTTCGTCTTTACGACATGAATGTTTATGACGCGTCTTTCGCCCATTGCGTCGTCGTATATAGCCAGCAGCTTCCTCGTGACCGCAGTCGAATTTCCGGCGAGCGACGAAAAAGAAAAACAACGCGGGGCCAGCAGGATTCTGTCAAACGGACAAATTGAAGCTACTTGTGCTTGCGTGCGACCCAGCGCGCGTCACCGACGGCACCCACTGTCAAACAGTCGGCTCACACCGAAATCGCCGGCGGGCAAGCTGCCAAGCCTTAAGACAAACAAATCAGGCCGCCTTGTTTCTGGTTTTTGTTCATTACGAGGCTAAACGCTCGCCGCGACGTTATTCGTATATGTACCTGAACGGAACGCCAACCTACAGTTCTAGATAGGCGTGTGCGGTTTAACGTCCCACAACCACCGTATGATTATGAGAGAGGCCGTAGTGGAGGGCTCCGGAAATTTCGACCACTTCTGGTTCTTTAACGTGCACCCAAATCTGAGCACATAGGCCGACAGCATTTTCGTCTCCATCGAAAATGCAACCGCCGCAGCCAGAATTCGATCCCGTGACCTGCGGGTCAGCAGCCGAGTATACCTTATGTCCACACCGCGGCAGAGCCGCCAACCTATTGTTCTGAGAACTGAAAAGACAAAGATGGTAACCGCCGTTTGCAGTTTATCTTGCAAGCCCCTTTGGTCCACACCCCTTGCCAGATGGTCAGTCTTTATCCCCCCTTACCCCCTTCCCCAGTACAGGGTAGCCAGCTGGTCTGAGAACTGGCTAACCTCCCTGTCCTTCCTCATTTATTCCTCCTCCTCCTTCGATTCTTTTTTGTTTCTATGTTTTTATACAACCACAGAGTAATTTTCAACGAGACTCGTCGGGAAAATAGCGCAAGCCCTCTGCAGCGGCAACCGCAGCATACTGTGCAGCTTTGAAACTTTCTGTTGTCTATCCCCGGACAAAAATCGATAGACATAAACGCGGCTCTAACAAGCTAGTAATCTTTATGGTACGAGAGCCACAGCTGGTATAGCTGACAGAAAACAGGCATTATGGGCGGAACTCAGTTAGCCCATATGTCAGCGCCAATTAAAGTTCTTGCTAATCATGTCCGTGACAGTCCGTTAGATATGTACGATATGTACAACGTATAGGCGCCGTGTTGATGGTACTGGAGTATATCAAGGTTTCTTTCAAGGTTTCAGTACACTGATAAGTATATTTCCAATCACGAAATTAGAGACGACGTCATGGAGCTTTCGTTTTAACCTTCCCCCTCAATCGAATGCAAGCGCAGGATCTCGATGGACGTCGGGCACCTCGGGGTGCTCTCCAGAAACGCTGTCTGTCACTATTTCACATGCGGCTATATTTAAACGAGCCCGATAAAGCCGAGTCGGTTGGCTGGTCTGGTTAACGTAAACGCTAGCCCGTTATTGAAACCGGAAAGGTCGGTGAGCAGGTTGGATAAGACCGGCGATAGGAGTGCGCAAGGGAGGATAAACATCTCAGAAGGCGCCAAGTCTCACTCCGCTATACCTTAACTGTTCTTGCCCCGTCATTGTTTAAAGAGACCGACAAGTAATATTTAAGGTACGTCTTTGTGTTTTTTTTTAGCGGAGCAGCAAGACCGGTCCGAGCACTTAATCGTGGAACGGCAACGCAAAAAACAACTTGCAACATTTATAATAAAATTGTTTTATCTGCGAATGGTGAAGTCGTAGACACGAAAGACATGCTATATATATATATATAATATATATATTATATATATATATATATATATATATATATATATATATATATATATATATATATATATATATATATATATATATATCAGATCTAACAGACAGTAATGCCAAGGAATGTACAGGGGACGTTATTAGAACCAATTGAATGTAAATAAGAATAAAGAAAAGTGGGTGAAAAAATAGTCAGCCGTGAGCAGGACTTTCACACACTTTTCTTTATTCTTATTTACATTCAATTGGTTCTAATAACTTCCCCTGTACATTCCTTGGCATTACTGTCTGTTTGTAAGATCTCATTAATATTGTGTTAAAACACGGAAAAACGAGCCCTTAGG